AAAGAGTGAGGCTGTTAAAGCTTCTAGAACAAAGGGATATTTTTACTGGGCTAGGTGAAAGGGGGTTGAGGTAAGAGGCAGGAAATAACTCTAGACAAAGGGAAGAGCATGCACAAAGTCTCTAAAGTAAGAAAGGACATAACGAATTAAAGGAATTGAAAGGTAGCTTGTTTAGTTGGATCATTAAAGAATAAAGGGGAGGGCTTCCCTGGTAGCGCAGTGGTTGAGAGTCCGCCTGCCGATGCAGGGGACACGGGTTCGTGCCCCGGTCCGGGAAGATCCCACATGACGCGGAGTGGCTGGGCCCGTGAGCCATGGCCGCTGAGCCTGCGCGTCCGGAGCCTGTGCTCCGCAATGGGAGAGGCCACAACAGTGAGAGGCCCGCGTACCGCAAAAAAAAAGAATAAAGGGGAAATGGCATAAGTTGAGGTTGGAGAGTCAGGGACTAAATCATCCATTATTAATAAGGACTTTTTGTCACTGTCTTTTTCAGCCATCAATAATAGAATTCAGGAGTAAAATACTTCCCTCATTGTTACCAGAAAGTTACATTTTTATTTACAACTTTGTTTGTTACATGCAGCATTTGGGAGAATATTGCTTAACAGTTTCCCCTCCTTCCCCCGCCCCCCGATTTTGTCAGAGGAATTATCTGTTTGGACAGAGGAAGAGTGTAGAAATTTTGAACAAGGGTTGAAGGCCTATGGAAAGGACTTTCATTTGATTCAGGCTAATAAAGTAAGTGATGATATATGTTGTCTCTTTTATTAAAAGAAATTTAGTTAACCTAGATTATATTAAATCTTGTATTATGTTTTCTAATGTTAAAGGTTCAATAATGAATATTTTAATACACTGGTATTTAGAAAATTATAATAAGCATGCCTAGACTTCCTGGCATGTATTTGCCAAGTGACTGTTCTCAGTGTATGATATTGGAAGTCTTTAAGAATTAGACGTTTATAAATATGTTCATCAGCTTCTGGATGGGATGTGTGTATACACTGTAATTACTTAAAGCTATTTTCCACAAACTTGTTACAGATTTTTTTTAGGAGGGTCTTACTTGGAAACTTTAAAGCATTTTTACCATGACATTATTTATAATTAAAATGTTTTTTACATTTGCTTAAGTCCTAAGTGGTCCAAAATCAGATACTTAATATTTAATTTGGTTTTAATTAAGATTTAATTTTCCAGAAGAATATCTCAGTAAGTCAGCTTTATTATACATTATATAATTTTATAATTTGACAATTTAGCATAATTTATCATGCCGTATGGATAATATCAATCATACAGTGTCATTGTATACCCAAAAAACCTTCATAAGTACTTGCATATTTATTTTTAGGTTTAATTCTCTTAAACTGAAATCAGGTAAGATTTTTAATAGTAACTACACAATTACATAGAATAGAAAAATGTGTTCCTAGGGGAAATTAGGACAGGCAAAATTCAAATCTCAGAATGTAAATATAGGGCTTCCCTGGTGGTGCAGTGGTTGAGAGTCCGCCTGCCGATGCACAGGACACGGGTTCATGCCCCGGTCCGGGAAGATCCCACATGCCGCGGAGCGGCTGGGCCCGTGAGCCATGGCCACTGAGCCTGCGTGTCCGGAGCCTGTGCTCCGCAACAGGAGAGGCCACAACAGTGAGAGGCCCGCATACCACAAAAAAAAAAAAAAAAAAAAAAAGAATGTAAATATAGGAAATTAAGTAATTTCTAGGTTTATAAATATCACATTTTTAGCAAATATAAATGATAAGGAGCTTGGCTTTACATGTTTCCTTAAGGATGGTGTGTAAGATATGTGATGGCTTATCTAGGATGATGCTGAAAGTGGGCTTATGTGGGCTTGCTTCTGAGGCTCTAAATAGTCTGTCATCACATTCTCCTATTTTATACCTCTGGATGTGATCCGATGGTATTCACTTGATTTGTTTCAACACATATTTAACAGTATCTATTTTATGTTCCAAAATAAAATAGTTGCTTACAAATCCTGTGAGTTCATTTTTCTCAATTTTGTTGTTCTTTAGTCTATTCTTGATTATTTTGTTGAAGTTTGGTATTTGACATTAGGCATAATTAATAAGAGAAATTTTGAGTCTTAGCATTGATGTGAAAGGTGTATCCAAATCATCTTAATGTTGTATCCAACATTAAGGTGTTGTATCCAAATCATCTGATAATTTCCAATATAGTGAATACTCTGTGAAAGGAGCGCATTATGCTAATGACTGTTTCATGTAATGGCCATGCGTGTTTCTGATTTTTAAAAAACAAATTGTCTCATGGTTGAAAGGGGCAGCATTTTGGGAAAGA